CAGTCAAGAAGAAGCAGGAGCAGCCCTGACCCCCTGCCCCCAACTCCATTATTTATTACGGAGCTGCCCCGCCTCGGTGGCCGGACCCCTGGGCCTTGGGGCTGTGGATCCTGGTTCCCTGTTTGGAAAATGCACCACCTCTAGCTCCTCTCTGTTCTTTGTAATTAACACGCTGTTGGTAATCTTATTAATTATTTAACCACTTGGCCTGCTGACCCCCTCATTTCTTGGGATTGACAGAGCTGAGGTGCTCGGTGGAGCCAGCCTGTTTCCCTGGACAGGGGCCTGGACCCGCCTGTGTCTGTGGGTGCTGCCTGGGTGTGGCTTCTGGGGCCTGTCCCGATGGGTCTGTTCTGGTTTCACCCCGAGCCCAGCAGGAGTGGAGGAAAGGGAGAAGGTTCATGTGGTGGAAGTCTGGAGTTGGAATTGGCCAGAAACGGAGTTTAGAATGCAGGGGTTCAGGGTTAAGGTCTAGCGTTCATTCTAGAAGTTGCCTGACAGCCATCAGCCAGTTATGCTACAGCCATTAGCTGGTTCCCATCTTTGCTTTCATGGGGCTTGAGGTCTTTGAGGGGCAGGAGATAAAACTGATGAGGTGAGCTGGGCCAGGGCCTTGAGGACAACCTGGAGCTGGAAGAACTATAAATGCGACCACCTCGGAGGGTCAGGGAAGAATGAGCGGGGAGGTGGCCGTGTTCTGCAATGGCCTTGCTGATGGGATGTCCTGAAGGGCTGGGCACCCTTAGATGGGGCCAAGAGGGCGGCACTATGGGCTAGTGCCAGAGCCAGGCTTGTCTGTCCCCAAAGGATTAGCCTCCTTTGGAGGACATTTTGTGTCAAGGATAGGGCTGAGGACCGGCGTTCTTAACGTCTTACCTGAGGTTCTAGACAGCCAAAGAAATGTGAGGATCACCTCTATGAAGGTCAAGTCTTGGCATGCGGGGTACCCCTGAATCCTGGGCTAAGGCCTGTGCCCTTTTGCCCTCCAGTTGGGGTATGCGTGGTGTCCCCAAAGAACAAGGGCTTGTGGATCCCGAGAAGGGTGCAATGGCGGATTGGGAGGTCCCATGTCACTCTCCCATGCCCGCCTTTGAAGCCAAGGAGCTCTTTAGTTAAAAACAAAAAACAAAAAACTGCAACTCCCGGCAGGGCCCGGGATAGGGACAGGGACAGGGACGTGGGTGGAGAGGCATCGGTGGCCTCGAGGCGTGCCACGAGTTGTAGTCCCTCCCGCCCGCTGTGTTCGCTGTTGAGCTCTCCGATGGGGTCTGGCGCTTGGGAATTCTGGGCCTTTATCCCTGTCCCGCCCTTGGCCACAGGCACCCGCCGGCCTGCAGGGTCCCGCAGTGCACGTACCCTGCGCCCCTCCGCGGGAAGATGGACTACAGTTCCCGGCAGGCTGTGCGGCGCCCCCGCCACGGTAGACCCAGACCCGAGGTTTTCCGGGCGTCGCAGTTTCCCAGTTTCGCGAGACTGTGGCGGTGTTTGCCTTCTTTTTCTTGGTTTGATCCTGTACTTTTGTGGAGGGTAGAGAGGAGGCTTTGACCGCCGTGGCCCCAGGGGCTGGTGGGAAATGGAGTTCCAAATGAGAAAATAGAATTCCCCACTTCTCTTTCCCACAGGTGCCAGGGAAGTGGAGTCATCGACCCAAGAAGGTCATGGGAGATGAGGTCCCGGGGTAAACAGCGGGTCCTGCCACTAGGTCACCCTTTTCTGCCACCTCCCCGGATGAATTGCGTGCAGGGCGGCCGGCTCTGTTGCAGGCAGGGGCAGGAAAAGGCGCGGAGCCCGCTCGTGGCGAAGAGGGGAGTGCGGTGGGAGGGGAATGTGGTGGGAGGGGAGGGCAGAGGCAGGCGGCCGGTCGTGTGGGGCCTGGGCAGCCCCGGGAGGGCCTCTGGATGGATTCTTAAGAGATGGATGCCGTGCAAGGGCAGGAGGCAGGGGCCTGACATGTTTGGATTGAAGTTGCAGGAGGGGCCCCTGGCTGCTGCAGAGAGAATAATTTGGAGGCGAGCAGGGAGGTGAGAGAAGACTGTGCGGTGCAGGATGGCGTGGCTGTGGAGGCAGAGAACGATGGGCCACGCTAGGAGTCTTGAAAGAGGAGCCAAAAGGACTTGCTGAGAGCTGTGCAGCTGGTGAATGACAGTGCCATGGCTGAGGTGGTCGAAAGGGAGTATTTTAGGGGAAATCAGTCATTCCGTTTTGACCAAATTAAGCTGGAGATACCTGTGGAACATTCCAGCCAGGCTGCATCACTGCACACTGACCTTCAGCGTTGCCCACAGTCCATCTTCCCCCAGGGCCTGAGGATTCTGACTTCTGGCTCCCTCCTCGCCCAGGACCCCTAAGCTCCCAGCATGCTTCTTTTTTTTTGTTTTGTTTTGGGGTTTTTTTTTTTTGGTCTTTGTTTTGTTTGAGAGGGAGTCTCGCTCTGTCCCCTAGACTGGAGTGCAATGGCTCCGTCTCGGCTCACTGCAACCTCCGCCTCCCAGGTGCAAGCAATTCTCTTGCCTCAGCCTCCCGAGTAGCTGGGATTACAGATGTGTACCACCGTACCCAGCTAATTTTTGTATTTTTAGTAGAGACGGGGTTTCACCATGTTGGCCAAGCTGGTCTCGAACTCCGGACCTCAGGTGGTCCACCTGCCTCAGCCTCCCAAAGTGCTAGGATTACAGGCGTGAGCCACTGGGCCCGGCGTCAGCCCACTTCTTTCAGGTGGCTATGGTTTGGATATCATTTGTCCTCACTAAAATTCATGTTGAGATTCAAGCCCCAGTGTGGCAGGTGTTGGGATGTGGGGCCTGATAGGAGCTACGTGGTCATGGAGGTGGATTCCTCATGGATAGATTAATGCCTGCCTTCAGAGGTGAGTGAGTTCTCACCCTTGGGAATTTGGGAATTTGGTTTTCTCTCCCTTGCTTCCTTCAGCACCACGTGATCTCTGTGCACACAGCGACATCCTTCTGCCCTCCCCCTAGAGCAGAAGGAGCCTCAGGGGTGAGGGAGGTCCTCAGTGAGTGCACCTGCCCAGTCTTGAACCTTCCAGCCATCAGAATCTGAGCCAAATCAACCTCTTCCTTCATAAAGACCCAGCCTCAGTTCTTCTGTCAGAGCAACACAAAATGGACTCAGCACGGGTCAAATTGTGTCTCCCCACCCCCACAAAAAACTTTATATTAAAATCCTAATCCCCAGAATCTCAGAATGTGATCTTATTAGGAAATAAGGTCATTGCAGATATAATTAGTTCAGATGAAGTCATTCATGTGGACCCTAATCCAGTAGGATGCGTGTCTTTATAAAAGTTTGGACAGAGACAGACACACAGAAAGGACACCGTGTGGAGGTGAAGGCAGAGATTGGGGTGATGCCTCTACAAGCCGAGGAAAACCAGAGCTGCCAGCACACCCTCAGAAGCCAGGTAGAGGCCGGGGACTCATCCTCCCTCGCAGCCTCAGGAGTGGCCAGCCCTGCCGACACCCTCATCTCAGACTTCTGACCTCCAGCACTGGGAGACCATTAGTTTCTGTGATTTAAGCCACTCATTTTGAGGTACGTTGTTATGTCAGCCCTGGAGAACTAACCACTCCTCCCTCAGACCCAGGAGTCCAGGCCCAGCCCCTTCTTCCCTCAGACCCAGGAGTTAGGGACCCTGCCCTCTCCTCCCTCAGACCCAGGAATCCAGGCCCCAGCCCCTCCTCCCTCAGACCCAGGAGTCCAGGCCCCCAGCCCCTCCTCCCTCAGATCCAGGAGTCCAGGCCCCCAGCCCCTCCTCCCTCAGACCCAGGAGTCCAGGCCCCCAGCCCCTCCTCCCTCAGATCCAGGAGTCCAGGCCCCCAGCCCCTCCTCCGTCAGACCCAGGAGTCCAGGCCCCCAGCCCCTCCTCCCTCAGACCCAGGAGTCCAGGCCC